TTTTTTCTTTTTCCAAAGCCTGTGTTTCAACTCGAGGTCAATCTCCTGCCAGCGCTGTAGCTGGTTGCATTTAATGTTACACTAATTCTTACATGTCAGGATGTCAGTGCAGAGGAAAAATGTGTGTTCAGCCCAAATCCCTGCTAAAACTCAGGCTGCTCAGCTCAGTTGGACGTAAGAACGAGGCATCAGCTCAGCCACGGCTCAGATTTGCTTTAGGTGCAAAGGAAGGAGGGTTAAAGTTGGTACCTGATGCCTCCAACCCACAGGCTGGTCCTGCTTTGCATGGGGGCAAAGCTGCTTTTAAAAGCACTTTGTTAAAAATCACACAGTCCCACAACGGTTTGGGTTGGATGGGATAAGAAAGATCATCTTGTTCCACTCCAACCTGGCCTTGGACACTTCCAGGGATCCAGGGGCAGCCACAGCTTCTCTGCCCAACCTGGGCCAGGGCCTGCCCACCCTCCCAGCCAGCGATTCCTTCCCAATCTCCCATTTTCACTTTTCCAGTTTGAAGCCATTCCCTGTGTGCTGTCCCTCCATCCCTTGTCCCCAGTCCCTCTCCAGCTCTCCTGGAGCCCCTTTAGGCCCTGCCAGGGGCTCTCAGCTCTCCCTGGAGCCTTCTCTTCTCCAGGGGAACCCCCCCAGCTCTCCCAGCCTGGCTCCAGAGCAGAGGGGCTCCAGCCCTGGCAGCATCTCCGGGGCCTCCTCTGGACTCTCTCCAGCAGCTCCATCCTCCCAAACGGAGTGTGATCCTTTAATATTAAAAAGCAAACACCCCGTTCCTGGTCGAAACACTGATATTGTGTCACTGGGAGCATTCCCACACCCCCCAATTAAACTGCCAGCACCTCCCAAACCCTCCCTCCATCCCCCAGGACACTCACCCTGCCAGCCTGGGGAGCACACGCAGGCCTTGGAGTGGTTGCTGTCGCAGTGGCCCCTCTCGGGAGCGCCGCAGTCCCCGGAGCAGTAGGGAATGTCACAGGCTTCCCCCTTCCAGTGTTTGGCACAGTCACATTCCAGAGCCTTGGTGCTGCTGTTGAGCCTGCACTCCCCCCGGCCAGAGCAGTTGTTGGGACACATGTTGAAGCTGGGAACGGCAGGGAAAAGGATTTGTAAGGGACGAAGGGGATTCCCAAGATTTGTTAGCAAAGAGGGAGGCTGGACGATGTGGTTTGCTCCAGCCAAGCCAAGACTCATCCAGTCCTTGGTGTGATGCACCTGCAGGGATTGGTTCCCTCCTCTCAGGAGTTACAAGTCTCATCTCCTCTGAAAAAATTATCAATATGATTTTTAGCCACTTTTTAACGCAAACGAATCGCCCTAAAACACACCCAACAGCGAGTGAGGAATTGAATCAGCTGCTGGGGTGTCTGTGCAATTCAGACTCAAACTGCTCACAATCAGGTGCTATTCTGGGATCTGCTCCCCAGGGGAACACGCTGGAGATGAATCCCAAGCCAAAGATGTGCCTGGTTCCAATCATTCCTGATTTTATAATATCTGCAGCGGAGCTGAGGCAAAACCAGAGGCACCCTTGGTGAAGATCCAAATTTAGAGGCCACATTCACCTCCAGGGCTCCAGGTTTTGCTGGTGTATCAACCAGTATAGCTCATAAACGGAGATTACTGCCCATTATTCCCACTGTCACTGGTCCAAGACCATCATTCCACAGTGTTTGCTGAGCACCTACACCCAGGAGTAACTGTAAGGACTGATGAAAGAAATAAAAACACCCTTTAATCTACCCACTGCAAACGTACCACAAGGAAAGGTAAACACCAGACCACAAAACAGCACTTAAAAATCGTTTAAAATCATCGAGGAAGTGAAGAATGGAAGGAATATTACCCTGGAAGAGAGTATTTTAATGCCATGGTGCAAACCCAGCAGCTGGCAGTAGAGGGAGTCCTGGTTTGCAGGATAAGCCAGGCTTGGAAAACGCTGCTCCTTCAGCTCCTCTGATTCAAGTAACTTTGTAAAGGCTTCTCGTTTCTTCTGGAGCTTTCAAGGGGTGCTGGATGTCCCCTGTTTCTCAAATAATCTATTTTCATGTGGATCATCAAGCACATATTTATGTGCTTACTCAGGATGAAAGCACCAAGACTGGTGTTTAAAAACGAAGCTCCTCCTTTTAAGAAAAACTCCATTTTTGCAAAAAAGTCACCTGAGACCAAAGCTTTTGCAGCTGTTGTTCTTTTTTTTTTTAAAAAAAGGTGAGAACTTCTGCAAGTGACCCCAGATTAAATCTCCTGATGTGGCACAACCATCACTCGTATTTGTAGGATTAAAAAATCCAAAGCTCGTGATCCCCAAGGAAGCAAAAAAAATTTCATCTCTGAGTTCGACCACGCTGAGATCACTGACTTCAAAACAAGACCTTTTTAAAAGCAGTAGATGAATTAGGCAGAACCCCAAAATTACTTTTAAAAAAGCTCCTCAAGGAGGACTAAATATGTCAGTGAACAGAAAGCACCCCCCTGTCATATTTAAAATGTGAAAGAAAGAACATAAAAACCATTCCGGACTAAAACGAAGCCAAATCGAGGGATATTCAATCCAAAAACTGAATTTAAAAAAAAAAAAAAGCATCCC